CACCAAAAAAATATGGATAAAATATGAATAAATCAGATAAAAAGCAATCTAATCTAATCTTAAACACCCTTTAAAAAGGGAAGTGTCTCCTGAGCTGTTGCTTCCCAACAGGAAATGCAGGGCATGGGAAGGCAGAAGGAAAAGGAGTTTTATTTTCCAGCCTGGCTCATCCTCTCTCTTCTGGGAGCAGCTCCTGCTGACACAGCCGAGGTGGGACAACACAATAAAAATGAGGGCAAGATCTGGTGTGCCCAAATTGTGTCTAAACCCCACAGTTTGTTCTTATTTAAATGTTCAGGTGTGACCTGCCTGTCCCCAGAGGCCCCCTCTGAGTGCTCAGCCCCCTGTGATGACAGCAGCTCCACTTAAACCTTTCTTTTAACCACCAAAATAATTAATTAGTAATTCTGCTTTTAGAACCATTTTCCATCAAAATGTACCCCTCCATTGAATAACTTCCCAGTCTCTCCAGCTCAAGTTTAAATAAGCATTAATGACTGAAGAAATCAGGAATGTTTTGCTGAGGGGCAATCAAAGCAATATTGAGATAGCTCGGGATTATTGCTGGATGCTAAAGCAGCCTTGAAAGATCATTTGTTCACAAATCCAAGAAGTTAGATACATTTGGTCATTCAGAAATTATACTGACACCTTTAATGCCATTTTTCTTTCTTTTCTTTTACATTACAGATATATCCATGGGCAGGGGGAGATGGTGGATTTTACCAATTTTATACAAAATACCAATGCTCCCATCTGAAAGAAGCTCTTAGGACAAGTAACCTCTTTATAACATCATGCAAACGATGATCTGCAATCCCAGGCGGTTTAGATATACATATATTTATATACACACATTTTGGGGGTACAGCAGTAACACATTTTTTTGATTGGTCATCATGACTTTTTCAGATTTTTCAGCCATGTCAATCATTCACCTTCTTGCCAGGTCCTTCCACTTCCTCCCCAACTGCAGTGGGAACAGAACAGGAACAAAATTGTGTGGGGAAAACATCACCTCCTCTCTGACTTACAGGAGTGCAAAGTACCCAGCAATCCTCCTGAAACAGCCTGAAAAATCCCCTGTGGTGGGTGAGGGAAAATCAGGAATTTGGGCACAAAGCTGTGCCACCAATCCCCTGATGCTTTTATGAGGAGCACCAACCAGCCATGAATTAGATTTTCAATCAGTGAAATATCAATGAGGCACACCGCACTTGGCCAGCAAGGGAAGGAGTTGGAAACAGATCCCAAAAACAGCAAATCCCAGCCCAAGGTGGCTTTTAGGGAAGCTCCCAGGTTGCTGCAGATGCTTCCACCCACAAACATTTTCAAGCAGGCAGAAATTTTTAATTTAGAACCAAATCTTTCATGATACTCAAGGCACAAAGATCCATCAATTCCGTGTATTTGGGGCACGAGGGATGAAGGTTTCGTTAGCAGCTCATGTGAAAATTATTTTATTGAATATTCAATCTGATGGCTCTGGAGTTTCATGTTGATGGCAGAACCTGGAGCAGAGGTTTCATCCCAAATCCTTTGGAATCAATGTGATTCTTGACACCAACTTCAGTGAGGCCAGCATTTCTGCCTAAATTTTATTTTTAAACAAAATGCATAGGTTATTTCTAGATCGCTCTGATTACCTCCAGGATTCTGCCAGACTAACTCATGGCAGTTTTTTTGCCTCCCTGGATATTATCTGTGAATCCCAAAAAGTTTCCATTTTGCATATAATAATTATATCCAATTAAAAAAATAGTATGGAGTGACTCCCAAAATCCGAAGGGCAAAAGTTCAGCTAACATATGTTAATCTTTATTATGGAACAACGAGATAATAAATAAGTTTATGAATTCACATGACCTGTGACAAAAAGCTGGGAAGCTTTTGTACCAAGTTAGGTCCCAGTTATTTGGATTTCATATTTGTTAAAGAAATGATCTGAATTTTTATACACCCGTGGAGTTAAGGCAAAATCAGATAAGACCTTTAACACAACAGAAGGGCTGGAAAATACACAGAAATACAAACAAAGGAGATCTCATCTCCAGCTGACAAAGTGGTTGTGTCTAAGGAAGGAATCCCTCAGGAGCTGAACAAAGCAGTAATTACCAATCAAGCTAATTAAAACTGAAGAACAAGTGTGATGTGTCCTGCAGGGCAAAGCTGTTTTAGCAAAGTTGTGCCTGAATGACCACCTTTAACCCTGAATGGTTATAATCTGCTTTTCCTTTTGGGAATCAGCCCATGGAAAAGAGGAACCCGTTCCATATCCAACCAACCCACATCCCTAACCCCTCAGACTGATGGAGGCTGGACTTGATTGTGATTAAATACTGGGTGACCCATCCAACACACAACAGGCAGAGGAGAACTCGAGTCAGCCTCTTAGCAATAGGAATTACCTCTCTACGAGGGCGGAATGTGCGCTCCCGGGACAGAAACATGAGCACTATATCAATACATCAATGTTCTTTGGCAGCAACACACTAACTCGTGCTTGAAGTCTGAACTCAGACTCTCCTACATCAAAGATTTGGTGCCAGTCTTTTCACAGTTAAAGAAAATCCACTTCTTCCACGGATCTGGTAAGTCCAGGAAATGAAATTGGAATAAATCTTGCAGGCGGCTTTAGACGGTAACCTTCAGCATTGATATTTATTGTCTGCTTTAGTCTCAGTCCAAAGGTATCGTATTTGAACACACAGGATTCTGTGGAATTTCTGAGTAGTTCAGATGGGGCCAAAATCCATGGAGAGAATCCAAAATCACCCGTGAGAAAGCAATAAAGAACCATCATCACTCCCATGACGACAAAATGATCTTCATGAAACAGAGGTGAGGACGAACGCCACAGGAAAAGTGACTTTACAGGGGGAAGACCAGGAAGCCGGAGAATGTCGAGTACTGCCATCCACCGACCAGATTTCCTTTCTCCAGCTTCAGGTAAACCTTGTCCTCCTTGTCCAGGTACAGCAGCACCCCGTTGGTGGCGGCCTCACGGGTGACGTCCTTGTCCCCAGCGAAGGCAGAGATCACTGGCTTCCCATTCAGCATCAAATTCACCTGCAAGAGAGCCCCTGAGAAGCTCTAATTAACTGCAAAACATTCCTGGATATTAACCACGGAGCAAGGGCCCAGCCTTCGGTGCTTTTTGGGTTGTTTTAAACTAATAATGACGTTTATTTGGCACAGGCATGTGGATGTTCATGAGCTGGACCTGCAGCTGAGTGAGGCATCACCTCTGCTGGTGTCACTTTGCTTATCTCAAGGGTTATTTAGGCACACAGGAGAAAAAATATATATGTATTTCCAAGAAATCTGGGCACACAGAGATGTTACAGAGGTGTCAGAAACACCACAGTGGGCTGGGAGCTTACACTTCACTGGGAACAAAATGTGTGTCCCTCTCAATACTGATGGCAGCTTAGCTCTGAAGTTTAGAACACATTTTTAGCTTTATAAACTAACTCCATTTTTTTTCTATAAAGAACTCCTGTGAGGCAGCACAGCCTCTGCTCTGGGAGCAGCAGCTCTGAATAAAGATGGGCAGGGCCTTGGGGGAATGGGCAGGTCCAGGCATTTTTCCTTTCCCCCATGGAAAGCCATCAGCTTTGCTGTTTTTCCTTTCCAAGCAGCTCTAATGCAGGCACAGGGGGTGAATTATGGGATTCTTACCCACATCCACTGTGCTGGACATGGTCCTATTAATTTTAATGGGAGTCACCACAGAATAAATTAGTGCTCAGCAGAAGTCAGGGCAGCAGAGGCTGGGATTTATTTGGGATTCACCTGTCTGGGAAATCCACTTAATCAGGTGTCTCCAGGGAAGCAATTGCAGTTTAATGATATTTAATGGCTCTAACAGATGTTGTGGGGGCAGAGGAACATGGCTTGTGTGGGAAGCCTGCAGGTGATTTAGTGGGGCCGGATGTGGCTGAGACACAATCCACTGCAATGGTTTCTGGTTCTCATCCCCATTTACCCCACAGAAAAAGGGCATCGAGGCTTTACTCATTGCTTGCCTTGGGTTTCTCACTCTTTCTGTTCCCTCAGGCTCCCCTGGAATCATTGACAGGAATTCAATCACAGCACAAGACACATGACAGGCTCGCAGGGGATGAGCTCACACTGACCCTTCCAAAAGGGAGCCGAGCAAACCCCTCCACCACTTCAGGATCTCTTATCCATGGAAGATTTTGGGTCAACATTCCCTGCCACAAAACTCCCAGGTGTGAGCTCCTGGATTGTGAAATGCCAGAGTCTGAGCTGGACTTCCAGAACCCAAGGCTTGGCACCTTTCCTGGCAATGAGCATTTTAAATACACTGAAGTGGCTGATAGAAAGTTGTTCAACCTTCAGCATGCAAGAGAGTGAAAAGAACACATTCTGAGCACATTAAACAGATTATAAACTCATTATAGAGATTTTCAGGTCAATGTTTCATTTAAGGCTGTGTCATTGACCTGACTGAAATTAGGATTTTCTGCTGTAAACTGCAGGGGAATTTCACCAGAGATGGGATCGTGGCTTTCACCAGCTCTCTGCCATCTCCACTTCTCCCAGGAGCTTCACCAGCAACCCAGAGCAGCCACAGAGCAATGTCTGATCACTCCTCCTGCAGAAATCCAGCTCAGCTCAGCCTGGCAGGCTGGAAACCACATCCAGGAGCAGGAGAGAGCAGGGAAAAGCATCAGACACTTCAGAGAAGCCGGAGCTCTCGTGCTGGAAACCAGGGGAGCCACAGATGTTCCTGCAGCTCTGGCAAGCCAGGAGGTGTCACAGCAACTGCGTGACCTGGCAGGGAGATTAAGGAATTACTTCAAGGAATTTGCTGTTGGCTCAGCAAGGGGATGTTCAGGAATTTAAAGGCTTTTCCCTCTTGTGTTTAATTAGGCATCTCCGTTGATATTGAGCTACAGAAGAAAGTGCAGAATTACCCCTTTTCTCTAATATATCACACACCTTTTAAACATTAGATGATGAAAAAAGGAAGTTCAAATCGCTGTGAAGGCTCCCTAGAAGACATTGCTGCAAGGAAATAACCAACCCTGGTCCTCAGCACACTGAGGGCATCACCAGGTACCTGGCACCAGATGCCAGGGCACAAATTGTTCCAAAAATACTCAAATCAGATACCCAGAACTCCTGTGTTCCACACAGTGAGTTTAACCTGGAGCAAAACACGACTCTTCAGCAGCATCTAAGTGAAATTCAGAGCTCTCTTTTACTCTTGGATCATTCATTCTATTGAATGCTCCTTGTCACCCCAGATAGTCGTGGCATGGAAGTGAAGTTGTGGTGATTTATCTGAGGTGAGGCTCCTGCCTTATTTCTGTTCATTTTAAATTAATGGACTCTACTGCAAGGAAGTCAACACCACAGGTTGCTGTAAATGAAGCTATTTTTCCTTTAAATGCTCTCATTCTCAGTCAATATTCTATCCTAAATGAGCAATTTAAATAAAGATTTTATAATCAACATACCTGAATTGTTTGACTCTGGTAGACTTTAATTACGTGAAAATTGAAACTGTAAATTCCTTTCCGTGGTGCTACAAAGACAGACTCCAACGTGAAAAAATTGCCCACATTTACAAGGATCTACAAGCAGAAAAATACAGCATGGAATTAGTGCAGGCTAAAGGAAAATACAGATTGTTAACTTTAGAAACCGTTCACCAATGGAAACATTTTAATCTACATCTAAGCTGGTTTATTCATTTTCTCTCAATTACTTTGGAATAACTCATAAAATGGGTATTTAGTTGTATTTATAGGACTTTACTACAAATAAAGTAAGAGGGGAATTGTTTCTTACTTTGCTACTATACCATACAGTCCTTTATTCCATACCTGTTTTTTAAAAGGCATTTTTGTTGCTCATTCCCCCAAAAAGGACACGAAAACACCAATTCTGGGAGTGGCACACATTTTTGGGCTGAAAAGCAATGGCCAAGCCAACAGTGCCTTCCCAGAGAGCCAGGTGTGAGTGAGGAGCACGAGCCATTCCCAGTTCTCCCAGTTGCTGGCACATCCCAGCAAAGCCTGGCTGGGAGCCTTCAGTTGTTTTAACGAGCGCTAATAATAATTTGGGTTTAATTAAACAGAGAGAAGTGACAGAGGGGAACATACGAGATGAGTGCATCACCCATATGCTAAACAGCCTCTGTAATGACAGCATTTTGCTCTCTTTCCACCTAATTATGCTTTATTTTTAATTGATATTTCCAGGCACAGCCCTCGGAAGCCTGCGGGATTGTCCATGGGGTTTTAGGGTTATTTAACCCTTTAGAGTTATTTACCCTGAGCTGCCTGGCACATCTGGCTGCAGCTGGCACCACGATTTACTGCTGGCTACAGCAGGCTGCAGGAACAAGAAGAACCCTCGGTCTCAAGGACTTTGGACTGGCCCCAGGACGGGAGCTGGTTTTAAAGCGTGTGCAGGTATCTGCACACCGGTATCGGTGCTGAGCTGAGAGGAGCCGGACATTAATCGTGCTGAGAAAGTTCAAGGCTTTTCCCGCAGAATTCGCTCTTCTCCCCCTCTCAAAAGCGGCACGAACAGTCCAAACCCTACTCGGGCTGAGACCCCCGAGCCCCTCGGGCCGATGTCGCCCCAGCGGTGCCAGCGAGCGCTGCTGCCCCGGCAGCCCCGGGGCTCGGTCCGCGCTTCTCCGGGGCCAAGGGGGAGCCCCTGGAGCCCCCCCGGGCCCAGCCTGCCCTGCCCTGCCCCAGCTCTCAGCCGGGATGCGGGGAAGGGCGAGGCGGCACCTGTGGATGCGGCGCTCCCTGGGGCTCACCTGGTCGAAGTAGATGATGCGCGTCTTGTTGCTCATCTCGGAGGGTTCGTGGTTGGTGCTCCGCACGGCCGAGAAGGCCACCTTGGAGTTGGCCGCCCGCACGGAGATGCCCAGCGGCGAGGAGGACGAGCCCTTGGCGTCGGGGGCCGGGTTGGAGTCGCAGACCACCAGGCACTTGCCCTCCAGCACGATGGGCTCGGTGTCGTTCTGCGCGGTGGCGACGCGGCCGCCCAGCGCCAGGGCCAGCAGCAGCAGCCGCCAGCCCATGGTCCGCACCCGAGCCCCGCTCCGGCCACCGCTCCGCGCTCCTCCGCCCTCCTCCTCCGCTCTCCTCCTCCCACCGCCACCACTTTGTGCCGTCTTCTTCTTCTTTTCTTTTCTTTCTTTTCTCTTTTTTCTTTCCTTCTCTCTTTCCTTCTCTCCCCGGCTCCTCCGGCGAGCTCTTTAAAACGCGCCGCAAAAAGCTGCCCGGAGAAATACGCGCTGTCCAGAACGCCCTTTTCTCCCCTCTCTCCGCATCAAAAAAGAGCGTGAGAAAGGGAGGTGGGGGAAAAAAAAACCCTCAGGTGAATTATTCCTGAGAGAGAGAAACGAGAGGTCGCGGAGAAATAAACCCATGTGGCGCTGCCATGACCGCCGGCAATTGGAGCTGGAGATCCGGGATGAGAGGAGAGGTGGGAGCTTCCCCCAGAGCTGCCTCTGCGAGCACGGGCAGGAGCTGCAGAGTGTCCTTCTCTGTGTCTGTGTGTCTCTGTGTGTCTGTGTGTGTGTCTGTGTGTCCGTGTCTGTGTCTCTCTCCCCCTCCCGCAGCACTTATGTCACAGCCAACCTGCCCAGCTCTCACCTAGCGGGGGCTGCTCCAGGTTTCATGGCCAGGAGCCCTCCCCTCGGCATCGCCCCCTGCTCGCACACACTCCCGTCCTCCCCGGCAACTTGTGGAGCAGCTGCAAAGCCCGAGGGAAAGCGCCGGAACATCGCAGCATCCCCGATTTCCAGGAGGAGGAGGAGGAGGATGGGAGGGAGCTGCAGCCTCCCTGGAAGGCAGCACCTGCACCTGCCGGAGCCTCCCAGGGCACGGAGCTTTTTGGGACTGGGGCAGGACACCCCGGCCCCTGCAGGCAGGAGGGAACAGCTTTCCCCATATCACACCCGAGATCCCCGGCAGGGCTGTCCTGCTGGCTCTTGGAGGATTAAGGCGGCCAGGTGTCTCCTCACTGTGCTGCCACGGGTTTGTGTGTCATTTAACATCTCTGTCTGTGATTAATTCAATTTTGTGGCGTCTGTTGGAAGGACTGGGAGACTGAGCAGGTACCTTCGCTTAGTTCTCCCATCAATTCCGAGATGATTAAAATCATGAGTAGCTCAGTGCTGGCTTCCAAACAAGATCTTTCCTGCATCTCCCGTTTGAAATAATCTCCCGGTGAAACCTAAACTCTCTTCAGGGACTGGCAGAAATGGCACAGTGCTCCCAGAAGCAGAACTGGCCACACAGATTTCCGTCCATCCAAACCAAAAAAAGGCACCAGTAGTTTGTAAGAAATTGAGCAAATGATTTTTAGGTAGATGCCTTTCAGTACAGCAAATTTTTTTGTGCCTGTAAGAGCTTTGCAACAAATATGAAATATGTCCTGGCTCAGCCATTAACCAGCAGCAGCCTCCACTCCCTGCTTGCCCAAGGCATCTCTAGGGACAGACAGAAGAAATAAAAGATGCCACAGGAAATTAAGAAGAGGAATAAAAAGCACCAAAATCCACTCTCTGCTGAACACCAAAGCTTCTGTAGGCAAATGTGAGCGGGGTTTTCAGCTGATGTGGAGAGCTGAGGGTGAAGCATTAATTCTGCAGAACTCAGCAAAGTCCTTGAGAGGCCATAAAGCAGCCAAAATTCTTAGCAAGCATCAAACTCCCTGAAATTCAGAAGGCCAGAATAAAATGTTAAGGAATTCCATTGATCAGGCAAGAGGCAAAAATATTTCTGTTTTCTAGGAATGCATCAATATCCTCTTGCTCAGTGCCACAAGGATGGATGGAAGGGTCCAGCTGGGAAGCAGCATTAGTGTAAGGAAAGGAAACAAGAAATCAAACAAACACTTGCAGCACAGCTTTGTACCTCTTGTAGAAATTTGATCTGCAGATTAAAAGTTTCCCTCCTGTGCACAGGAACATGTTTGAGGACTTCAGCAAAACAAAGCTGTGGGGAAAAGATTTTGTAAATACAAATGTATAAATAGTTCCACACTATTTCAACATCTCCTGCTTCAAATCTCTTCTGTCCCTAAAGCTGCTGAGTAGCCTTTTAACACTGCACAAGTAACAGCAAATATAATTAATTACATGTACACATAAATTCCAACTGGAACTTGAAACTGCTGATGATTTTCAGAGATTAAAAACTTCACAACAATTTTAGAAACTTGGTTTTGATTTTGTTTGACAGTGACATTGACTGTCTCTGTAGATATTCTTCCCAATATCCCATCCAACCCTGCCCTGTGCCAGTTTGAAGCCATTCCCTGTGTCCTGTCCCTCCATCCCTGGCCAAAGCTCCTCCAGGCCACACTGAGCTCACCCCAAAGCTTCTCCTGTCCAGGTGAGCAATCCCAGCTCTCCCAGCAGAGCTGCTCCATCCCTCTGCTCCTCCTGGAGCCTCCTCTGGACCCTCTCCAGCAGCTCCAGCTCCTGCCTGTGCTGGGAACCCCGAGCTGGATGACTGAAGTGGGCTGGAATTTGGCCAGGGGACCCCACACCTGGACCAATGCTGGGGTTGCCCATCAGCTTCCTCCACCTGCTGCTCCAAGAGACATCAGGGCTATAAATAATATCCATAATCCACAAATCCATGCCTAAGGAAGCAGCCTGGAGGGTCCCTATCACCAAAATACCTGATCCACATCAGGAAACACCTCCTCCTTTTTTTCCCACCCAAACAGAAGGAAGAGAGCTCCAAGGTTATTTCTAGCAATCCTTGTTTGGGTGGCTGAGCAGGGCTTTAATTAAAGAACAAAATGAGGGAAGTTTGCAGGGGGTGCTGTGGGAGAGGTGAGTGGAAAAGTGGAGTTTGCATTTCATTCCTAAGCACCAAGGTTAATGATTGTTCTTATTTCATCTGACAAGGAATTTCTCACTATTGATCCAGCTCCCTCTAACAGGGATTTTGTGTTTCTTCCTTTGAAGTAAAAATGAGTAAAACGAATAGCAACTGCACACAACAATGGAAATTCAGTTGGATTAAGCTCACAGCTTCTTTCCCTTTCTGGACACACACTTGGAAGCCTAAAGCTGCCTCCAGTTGGAAGAATTTTGCTGTTTCACAGGAGACTCCCAGCACTGAGGCAGCTTTCTGACAGAGGGAAGAGCCTCAGGGAGAATCAGGATAAAACACCATGTTTGCATTTACATTTCCTTCTACCTCTCGCCTTGTAAACCTGCATTAAATACAATTTCTGTATCAATATGGCATGGTACCTCCCAAATCTCTTTGGAAACAGAACATCTTGCTTTGTATAATTAGTCATTTGCCTTACAAAAGGGAGGAATAATCTGCCCCAGACTTCCTTTCACGCTTTTGAGCTTCGTGCTTGGAGGCCTTCGGAATTTTTCTAACCCCTCGGTAGCAGAGCCCTCCTTCCTCTCCTTGCCTTTCTTCTTCAGCCTAATTATATTTCCCTTCTGTCAGGCTGAGCTTTGTGTTTGCAGAGCGTGGAGAGGTTCTGGCAGGAGCTGAGCACTTCCAGCCCCTCCAGGACCTGCTCCAGGACCTGCTCCCGGCTCCGCGCGGCGCCGAGCCCACCCTGAGCAGAAGATGTGGGATGAGGGGGAACGGGGAGGTTCCATCCCAGAAAAGCCATGGAAATCCCCAGCAGTGCTCGTGCTCGGCCTTTTCCCTGCGTCCTGACACCCCTCCAGGCTGGAATTGCAATTCCTGAGCCTCCATCTCCATCTGGCTGTTGGCTCCCGGACAGCTGGCCCGTGGTTCTCTGCTGCTCAAACAGTTTGTTGGCCAAACCCAAGACAAATTCACCTGGCTAATGAGCCTGATGGTTCCTAAAAAACAGCCTGTAAATGTTTCATAAAGTAAATTTCACTTCATTTATATGAGCATAAAATGTAAGCAGATCCTGAAGGAATGTAATAAAATCTTCAGCTGCACGCGTGACTACAAGGAATAGGAGGTTTTGGACTTTAATTCAAACTGATGCAGACTCAAGCCTAGATTTTCCTTGCTTTATTTTAATCTAAAATTCCAATTTTCCTTGTTTTATTTAAGTAAGCTCTTTCAGTAGTCTGTCTATTTTAAAGCACCTCTCCTCAATCCATCCCAACTCCAAGAATTTTTTAAACTTTCTGCAGCAGCAGAACAGACAAAACAATGAAAACCAATTTCCTACCTATATTTGTTGGGCTGCTTTAGTTTCCCTGACACTCTGCTGTGATAAATCTGTGTTTTGATGGCCTCCTCAGGAAAGAGAATTTTCAAACTCGCTGTGAATTTTGGAGGTGATTAAGGAAATGAGTCAGCAGGATGCCTGCATGTGTAAAGGTAAAACTGCTCAGATCTGCTGACAGCTCTGGCACTTGAGGTCTTTATTCAGCATTTCTTCAGCAGCCAGAATTTCTCTTTGACCAAAGCTGAGCAGGCTCCAACCCCAAGCACCAGGTGAAAACTGAGGTTTGAAATTCTCCCAGGCAGATGCTGCCAGTCCTTCCAGCAGCACTTACTCCATGATGGATGTCTGGGATTATTCCAGTTTTTCTGTTGCTCTGAGCCCAAGGCTTAAATGAGGTTTGCATCAGTGTAAAAGTGAGAGCAAAATGCGACCCTGGAAGTTCTTCCTGCTCCTTCTGAGACCCCGGGCAGGAGTCACTTGTTTGCAACATCAATGGGCCAGCAAATGTCATCATTAATCTTCACTAAACTATCCACAAATAGCTTGATATTTCTTGTATTTATGTTTATTCCGAATATTTCCAGGAAATATTTCCACGTCCAACCCTCCTGTAAAAGCAGAGCTTAGGCGGATTAAGACCATAAAATCAAGTACACACATGAACTGCTTTTAAAGCAGGTATTTGCATTTAAAACTTGTTATAAAGCAAAATTTAATTTTGCTATTTTTAATTATATTTATTATACATTTATCATTTTTATATTTATTATTTATTATTTATTATTTATTATTATTTATTGTTATTTATTATTTATTATTTATTATTTATTATTTATTATTTATATATTCATTATTTATTATTTATTATTTATTATTATTTATTATTTATTATTATTTATTATTTATTATTTATTATTTATTATTTATTATTTATTATTTATAATAAAATTTATTTTTGCTATTTTGTTTGCTATTGTATTTCAGTTATTTTTTGCATGGATTGCAGCTCTTTGGGGAGGGTGTCAGCACAGCTTTCCTGCCTGCAGAAAGGGAGAGACAACTGCAGAAAAATGATTTACACAGCTAAACCACAAAGTTTTGTACATTTTGGGCTGAGGAACTGGAGAGCTGCTTCATCCACTGCAGCTTGGAGAGCAGAGTCATCACAGCAGGGCTGTCCTTTCACAGGGCAAGTTCAGTAATTCCATCACCTCAAGGGTTTGCGTGGGGTTTGATTTTCCTAATCAGTTTAATTCCTGACAGCAAAGTGAGAGATGAGATTGTTTTGAATGGCAAGAGTCCAAGGAACAGGCTTCAGTGTGAGCATTCATGACAGCAACTTGGGATCTTATCTGGGAGTTATTTACTGGCTGAGAAAAGTTCCTGCATTGGAACTGAGCAAATTTCTGTTTAGAATTGCAGCATTTCAGCCTGAGTCCTACACATCTTTTTGAGGAGAATTTCTAGGAGCTACAAGAAGGATTTTGGTATAAATCTGCTCATCAGTACTTTATGGACAATAACCTTTGGGGGATTTTTAGGTCAGTGTTTATGAGCACATGACATCACCATGGCAGAGATCATCAGTTATTTACCCCTGTTCAAAGGAGTGATTTGTGTTTCAAAACACATTGCAGCGCTTCTAAATTGCACCCAGGGACTTCAAATCTGCAGCTGAAACCTTTTGTTTCAAATGTCTCGTTTGTCAGATGAGCTTAAAGCAATATTTAGCTACTTTGTGGCTTTCTCTTGTTTAATTACTGCTGACTGCCGTTGTATAAAACGTCCCCAGTGGGCAAAATTCATCCCTGGGTAAATAGGCAGCAAGTGGGGAGGCTTAAAGCTCATTTAGCAATGCCTGCAGTCATCTCAATGTCCACCCAAAAAACCCAGACACACCACACCATGCTGTGAGGTGAAGGATTCGAGTCAGGGCTGAAGAAAATCTTATTTTCACAAAGTGTTCCTACCTGAATTAGCTGGAGCTTTCAAAGGCTCCCCTGGTCTTTGTCACTCCGGGAATAAAGCAGCTGGTTCAGCTTTCAGTACATTCTAAACAGTGGAAAAAATGAATATTTATGTTGAATTTGGGGAGAAAAGTTAGCAGTGGAGCATTCTGGCAGCCTGACTGAGCCATTCATGCAGGAATCATCTACCTGTGAACATCCCCATCCCAAATTCCAGGAGCAAGGCAGGGTCTGCCCAGGAGCTCTTGGAGTCACCCCAGCTCAGAGCAGCCTGCAGGTTTGGAGTTCTCCACGTGTTCTTCTTTGAGACGAGCAGTTTAAAACTCATTTGTGGTTTTTCTGAGCCCTCAGTAGCAGCAAGTTCTTGAGCACAGGAGGATTTCAGCAAGTTCTTGAGCACAGGAGGATTTTCTGAGAACTCTTTGAGGCTTTGGTTGTTGTACAGTGGGCACCCAACAGGGTTTCAGAAATCCCACTTTTGTTCTCTTTATCCAACAGCATTTCCCCCTTCTCCTGAAACTGGTTTGGATTTGAAAGGCATTAATTCAAGCCAGAAACCATAAGTGATATCAAAGCTTTTCTGCACAGAACACCTTCCAAGTGACCACAATTTTAATTTAACTGCTCGTTTATACAAATTAGCAGGAGCACCCTGCCTGGTGCCTGCAGTTCAGGTAGGAATGGGGGGAAAAAAAAGAGGAAAATGGGAAAGCAAAGTTCAGCCACTGCCCTGGGATATAACTGTGGATTTATGGAAGTTAAATTTTTTCTCCAGTGCTGGGTGATCTCTGCTCTTTGCATTATTGGTTTGAAGAAACCCTGGGAGAATTCTGCCCCTGGGGAGAGAAATTTGTATTTCAACCTGTGAATTCTTGAAAAGCCCTTGTGAGTGGTGCCCCTGTGGGAGCTCAGATCCCTCCAGTGAGCGACAGGAGCTCCCTTTCTCCCAGCGTGTCCTGGGAAAGATCGAGGTGCTCTGACACTGGATAAAGTCAGGGATTTCTCCTGGGAGCTCCTGGGAGGAGAGAGGGGCTGTGCTGAGCTGTGAGATACAGAAATTATCTTCCCTGACAGAAATGTGCATTTTAAGGAAACAAAGCATGGAAAGAAACCTCCTTTTGCTGCTGGAGCCAGTGGTTCTGATGCTGCTGAGCTGACCCACAGCTGAATATTGACAAAAATTCCACTGACCTGAACTTCCTCTAACACCCTCACTAGTATTTCATATTCCAGAATATGCCAAAAATCAGCTCTGTGGGAAAAAAATAACCCAAATATAAAAATACTGTAGTTCTTGCAAGTCAGATTGCTCCTAATAGTAATATTTTCCACAAAAAGAAGCATCACCCAATGCTTTTATGACTTTTGCAGGATAAAATCATCACCTGCTAAGGAGGGATTCCAAGGATATTATCCACAGGGAGACTTGGAGCTCGTCTATATAATCCCAAATAAATGTTGAGGCGTAAAAAACATTATTCTTTTTGCCATTAAAACACATAATTGTAAATAATACAATTTAAGAGACCTGAAAAACCTCAGCCTTATGCTAAATAAGTTAAGAAATAAAGAAAGAGGTAGGGAACGAGGTCTAGTTATTTTTACCTTTTGTTTTGATTTATTTTTATAAATCAGGATGTCTCAAGCTCCCAGGCAGGAAGGAACAGCTTATTTGGGAAAATGGAAACATCTCCCACTCCACAGGAAAGCTTTGTGCTCTCTGAAGGGGATAGAACTTCATGCCAAGGAGGTGCTTGGGCATTAATTTTTTTAATTAATGCTCCAGGATGTTCCCACAAAGGCACAGATATCGACCACTGGGCAGGAGATATTTTTAATTGGGAGAGGCCTTGCCAGCTGAGCTATAAAACAAATACAAGCTGTTAAATAAAGTAATGGGGAAGAAAGAGTTGGGGAAAAAAGGTAACAAGGAAAAAAAAAAAAGGAAAAAACCTTTAGTTAAAAGAGACTTAGTAGGATTTTTGGAGTTAAAAACCAATGAAATTTAATATGAGCATCACGAAAGCCGTTCAGGGATGCAGGGATCCTGATGCCATGGAAATGGCACTGGTGTCCAGGATGGTCTGGCATGATTCCCATGTAAATGAAGAGAATTCCCATTTTGGAGCTGTAACCACACACATCAAAAGCTGCCAGTGCTGTTGGCAGGGCAGGGACATGCACAGGGCAGGGCACTGTGGAACAGGGCTGCAAGGAATTAAAAAGGAGCTGGATTTTCCTCTCTCAGGCAGAAATGAGGGATGGAAGCTGCAGATCCTGTAGGTATCACTGCTCTGATGCTGACTGGAGGCAAATACAGCCAATTTGGCATAAAACTAAATACCTGAATTGCTTCTGCAAATATTTTTATGTAAAACAAGTCTCAGGAGCGCTAGTTTTGGCTCTGTTTTACTCCTTTTGCCCCTGAGAAAGTTACCTGGGAGCACAGTCCTGGCAGGACTGTTGGGAAGCCCAAGTGACACATTTTTCTGGCTCAGACATGGAAAAAAATCTTCCACCCCCACTTTCCAGGCAGTGCCCAAGCGTCCCTGCCCTGCTGGTGATGCTCCTGGGCTGCCCCAGCAGGGAAATTCTGTGTGCAGCAGCAGCCAGGCTCTGTCCTGGCCCTTCCCCTGCCCCCCTGGAGCAGCAAAGGAGATGCTGGATGTGGAGAAGGGAAAATTCCAGCTCAGAGGGGGCTCTGAGGAGGGAATTCTGAGCTGTGAGTGCATCCAAGCCTTTCCCAGGGGTCACTCCCAACCACGCAGGGCTGAAGTCGGGGAGAGAGTTCAGAGTTTCCATCAAAGCCCAAAGCCGGGCACAAAGACCCAAAATAAATCAGATAACTTTCCTAAAATAAATCAGATTCACTTCTCTCTCAACCCAACACTGTTTGCAAATCTGGGAGGGAAAGTGGCAGATTTTATCAATGCCCTTTTACAGCTGTTTTCTGCTTTTAATGTTAAACACACCATTTCATCTTTGCATTTCTAGGCCTTCTTTTCCTGCCATACACTGAGCTCCAGATAATTATTCTGATTAAAGAAACATGTAAAAAGTGTAATGTAATTATATACATTATAATTATAATAATAATAATATACAATTATACATTAACATGCAATTATTCCAATTAAAAGCATGTAAAAGCCAACAAACACAACAGAAATATTTCCTCTTTCAAAAACCAATGGAAAATAAAATAAAATAAAATAAAATAAAAATAAAATAAAAAATAAAATGAAAATATAAAAAATATAAAAAATATAAATAAAATAAAATAAAATAAAATAAAATAAAATAAAATAAAATAAAATAAAATAAAATAAAATAAAATAAAATAAAATAAAATAAAATAAAATAAAATAAAATAAAATAAAATAAAATAAAATAAAATAAAATAAAATAAAATAAAATAAAATAAAATAAAATAAAATAAAATAAAATAAAATAAAATAAAATAAAATAAAATAAAATTAAAATTTCCTCTCACATCCATTCCTTAGATGTACTTTTTTGTCTTGTTGCTCTGACATTTTTCTCTTCCTGCCAATGCAAATCTTAAATATTGATCAATTTCTATAGCATTTATGGCAAATACATGAAATTAGCCATAAAAAAATGCTATTTTTTTTTTGTCCTGCTTAGGGGGGACAGAGCAAAATAAAACACTCAGACTTTCTTCATTACATACCACATTTGCAATGTTTTAATAGCAAAATAAACAAGAATTTGTTAAAATATTCTCCTCTGTGGGCATCAGCTCCCCATTTCATTATAAAACGTGTGAAGTATTCTTTAGAAATTCCATCAGCACACAGAAAGTTACTCATTGAAAATAATAATTAAAACTGGGTCAGAAGCTGGGGCATTCAAAGGGAAAAATGGAAAAGAGGAATTATGAAAGGTTGAAAGTGTTTCTTTTCTCAATATATGGGAATCTGAAGGTACAAAAGCACAAAATTGAGAGGTTCATAAGTGATCTGGGATATTACAGGTTAAATACCACTGAAAGTTACACATTATAAATTGAATTTCTCTCCAAATCAAGGTGTTCTGTTGCACAGGTGAGACTGGCAATGTGCTGCTGATCATTATAAAATAAAAAACAATTAAAAACTGTTTTCTGGGCTCCTCCTTCCCTCAGCTCTCCATAAAATTTGGTTTTTTATGGTGTGACTTCAGCACACGCCTTCCTAAACCCAGTGATGAACGACGATATCCACCCAAAGAGTTCCTGGGAGTCCAGGTCTGGAGGCTCCCCAAACTTCACCTGGAAATTGGAAATAAAAGAATATTAAACTTTTACATCTGGGTGATCTAAACCATGTCCAGGAGCTTAATTAAATTTAAAGAGTGGAGAAAATGTAAATATCTCCATTATTGTTAATATTGATATAAAGAAACGGAATAAGAGGTAAAAAAGGAAGGGGAAGAGGAGGAAGAATCAAACTTTGAGCTGTCTGAAATCTCCAGGGGACTGAGATCCAAAATATCCCAAATAAAAGTGATCTAAGGAGCTTTCAGTGAGCTGCCTCAGTAACCTGGGTTAATCTCTCTGGCTGGACTACAAATCTCCAGCTGAAGAGGAGAAAAATCAGTAAATCCTGAAGTTTTCTGGCTCTGCAGCTTGGGAGATGAATCCATTCATTAAAGGAAATGTGTACAAAACTGTCCAAATCCCAGGATCAGGATATTCTTCCAGTTTCAGGGGTAACCACCACATTTCTGTCCCTTTCCTCAAGATCTCTGACTGCTGTTGAATATGGGATTTTCTTTCTTTTTCTACAGCCAGTATAAATATAAAGCAAGTGGGAATTTCTTGCACTCCTTTCCCCTCCTTTCCTCCCTTTTAAAAAAGAAATGTAGGTTTATTTTCATTGCATTTTAATCTGATATGTACCAGTACGTTGCTATAAAGCTTCTTCATTTCCTCACATCTTTTTGACAGCTGGGAGAGATCCCCTTCATATTTCTGAATTAAATCCTGTAATAAAATAAAACTTCTTAATTTGCTGTAGGAGCACACGATTAAAGCAGGAATTAAAGAGCGGTGAAAGCAAAACCATTCAAGGCGAAATTTTCATGTCATAAAAATTTCACATTTCACAAAAGAGAAGCACACACACATTCCCTTGCAAGTATTAAGACATCAAAGACAAAAAAAAAAACAAAAAACAAAAAAAAGAAAGGTTGAAGTTAGAGAATTTTAACTGTGTTATAAAATGACAAAACCTAAATCTGTGAAAAGCAGCAGAGCCAGGGGAGCATCACAAGGTCCTGATTTCCTGATTTTTGCCCCTGCAGCAAACACTGCCAGTTTCAGGTCCTTAAAGGGCAGAAACAGCCTTCAGAAACAAACCTGGAAACCAAATTTCTTCATTTTGATTTGTTTGCAACACCCACATTTTCAGCAGCTCGTTTGGGACCCCCGAGGTGCCACAGCCCTGCAGCTGCCCCAGGGGAGGGTTGGGTGGGATTTGAGGATGAATTTCTCCATCAGAAAGGTTGTGCAGCCCTGGCACAGATGCCCATCCCTGGAGGGGATCAGAGGAAGGGGATGTGGCACTTGGGGACATCCCAGTTGTGCTGGGTTTGCTCTTAAAGGGCTTCTCCAGCCTAAAGGATTGGAAATGACTTATGGATAATCAGGTTTTTATCATTCTGTGTTCCAAGACAGGGGCTGGAACTGGATGATCTTTCAGGTCCCTTCCAACCATTCCATGATTCTTCAATCCTCTGTAAATCCCCTTCTGTCTGAGGGCAGAAGAAATAATTACAAATTCACTCTAAAATTCCCATTATCCCAAAGTGCTCCTCCAGGGCAGCGTGGGGCTGCCTGCTCCTCATCCACTTGCCTGGGAAGGAAAAGCAGGAGATGCACAAACCTGAAAACCCTTCCCACACTGCAAATCACAGCACGAGACACCCTCAGAAGGGAATAAAAATCCACTTTCCCTCAAATTCTCCTGGTCCCAGGTGTCAGCACAAACTCCCAGGTTACTCCTCCCTTAGGGAGGTTGTGGATGATTTACCTTTAGCTCCTTGCAGAACTGGGACTCCTGAGGTGTTGCCTTGCTTGCTTTGGGTTTAATGAGCCTCCTGCACTGGATAAGGTTCTCCAGTTCCTTTTTTAAAACTAACAAAAGGAAAAGAAAGAGAGGAATTTCACCAGCACGAAGAGGTGTCCAAAGGGCTGCAACGGTCTAATTTAGGGCAGAAGGAAAATAGAAGAGAATGTGGGTCTGCAATACATTTATCCAGGAGTATTAACTTCCTGGTGAGAGGCAGAGCTCCTGAAAGAGGCATTTTCTCAGGGTAAAAATGTGATCACATCCAGCAAGTGCAGGATAATGAAGAGGTCGAGAGCGTGGTAATGCAGCAGCCATAAATCTGACCTTGCACTGGGATTAACCGTGGAAATAACATCCTTCAAACCCACATCTTTGTGTAGGAAGTTCTGGGCTCCTTATAAAGATAAAAGAATAAAAAATCCTCTGTGGAACAGGAAGAAATCCTGTCAGCTGGCACTGGGCTGCTTCCCTGGGAGCAGCTGGGGCAGAGGGCACAGCCTCGGCTCTGGGGGCTCCTCTGGCATCTCCTGCCCTGTGCTGGGCAGCTCCTGCAGCTCCAGGATGTGTCCTCAGCTGGGAGAAGCTGCTTCCCTGGGTTTTGGTGCATTCCTTCCCCTCTGGCCTGGAGTGACTGCCCTGGGCACAGCAGGAACCCACGGAGGGAAGAGCCCAGCCCACCCCACTGGCTCCATGTCCTTGGACATCTCCAGCAGCTCTGCTCCCCACGGTGCAGCCTGGCCCAGCACTCTCCAAAACTGTCCTTAAAACACTCACTGAATTTGAATTGTCCCTGCAGACCATGAGTGAATGAAGGTAAATATTGTTATATTTAGTGATTTATGTCTCCTAAAAGGTGCGCTGGAATTTCTTGGAGCAGGATAAAACACACTGGAGGAGCCTTGAGCTACTGCCAGAGCTGGCCCTGAAGGGGTGCAAGGGTTTGCCAAACCAAAAGTGAGAGTGAGCATCATTCAGCTCTGTCATCAAAGGCTGAAATTGGGAATATTGGTCTGGAGTTGTGGCCAACACCCACGGCACACCTTCAAAACACAGATTATTATAAATTGCAACATAATAAGCATCGTCTCCAGCCACTGTCACTCTGCTATCAGCTCTCAAAGGGCTCAGTGTAAAACGCACTGAGCTCCCAGGCCATGGGACTGTTCCATGGGGAGCTGGAAATACATCTTACAAAATCCATCTTCCCAAAATCCATCTTCCATTTGAACAACCTCGTTCTGTCCTTCTTGTCGACTTCACTGGTGCTGGAATCCTTTCCAGAGAAGGGAACCAGTTTGTTTCCAGGAAGTTCTTGAACTCCAGGAAGTTTTCTCCTGCTGCACTCCCAGTCCCAGAGGCTCTCACAGCCATCACTGTGATGGAGAACTTGTACCACTTAACTTTTTTTATTTCACGATAAACTCTATTTACCATGGCCAGTACATTTTTTTTTTACATTTCTAAACCACCTGGACACACTTCAATATTTCTTTTTTTTGTTTTTAAATTCTTCACAGTACCATGGCAGGTTAAGCATCTCCATGGCAACACTTCACCTCAATGTTTTGAGCCTTTAACTCTCTTTACAAACTACAGAGGTGCAGTGAAATCCTGTTCCAAATGATTGCACAGTGCATGAAAATCTGAATGTAGAAACCACATTTACATACCATCAACTTCAGCACTGAGGCCCTTCATGGACGCTGGAAAGGAAGAGAGAGGGGAAAATGATATAAATATCATTTATATGGCAAGAATGGGAGTTTGCACAGAAGTTGAAGGACTTAATTCTTTATTTGTTGATCATTTGATCATTTTCCCCCCGCTTCCCTCCTCTCACCATCAGGAACAGCTTCAAATTCTGTCAGCTCCTGAGGAAACGTGGCCAGCTCGGGCTGGTGTAGGAGGATCTGCTCCACCAGGGCGTGGAGAAGGGTGAACGTCCTCTCCTTGCCCCTCAGCAGAGGCAGCTGCAACAGAGCAGAGCAGGAACTGATACACTGAGCTGCCACCCCTTCAAAAACAAATAAATCACGAGAAAGGAGCAGCAGAGGTGCTGATGGATCCCAGGTGTATTTGGCAAGAATAGGAAACAACGGAGTTAAAGTTCTGCTTTTCGTTTTGCTGTTCCACGCGCGCTCCTGGTTCGTAGCTGGTGTCAGACAATTCCTCATGCCAAGGGATTGTAGTGTCAAATCAGCATTTGGATGTTCTACCTCATTAGAGACACAGCAAATTCAGCAGCACAAAGCCAGTGCTGCTGCCTGAAATGGGGAAACACAGCTTGTGATCACAGGCAGGAGAGAATTCATTGTTAAACAGGATTTTGTTCTCGTGTAACCGAGGGTGGGCAGTAAGATGTGAGCTCCTCATTAGGAATTATTGCCTCTCTCCACGCTCAGGGACAGTTCATATTAATGGCTAACAAACCTTGGAATAGGAAGACTTTAATTGCAAGAAAATATTTACTCACTTTGGCCAGAGATGACAGTCGGAATCCTTTAGCCACCTCTTTACCAGCTTTCTCATTCAGATGGTTCCCCATGGCTAAAATGTACTCCAAAACAGCAACAAACTTTGGGCTGGACTGCAGCTGCTTGCTCGCTTGGATATTCTGGATTATCAGCTGAAACACACCAAGTTTCCCTCAGACAGATTGAAAATGTGGATAAATCCGTGGTGTCTGCACCTTCCCTGTGCCCCCCTCGCTGTCCCCTCCTGAAATCCCTCCCTTGCCCAAGGACATCTCCCTGTCCAAATCCCTCAGGGATTTTCAGCAAGTTCCAAGCCCCCAAGAAAGCTGTGCTGGCACAGTCACCCCAAAAGGAGTCACACCCTTTGTGGCTGCCAAACCAGCTCTGCCAAAACAACCTCAGCCTCCTGTGCACAAAAAGTGTTTTGCAGTTTGGTTGCGAAAATTTCAGGGGTCAGGGAAAGCAGAGTCTGGAGCTCCATCCTTCACCTCCCTCCCTTCCTTTGACACCAGCTCAATGCTGTTATCAAAACTCTTTGCACAGTTTCCCCACAAGGAAGAATGATCATTTCCTGTACTCCAACTCAGTATAACTCAGTTTTCCCAGGGAAGCCACCTCCCTTCTTGGGGCTATAGGCACAGGAGGTGATTTTGTTCTCAGTTAAAAAATCTGTATTTTTTTTAGCACCACACCTCTTTTCATCAGTGCAAGTTTAAAAACAGGGAGAGGATGAAGCACATGGGTGCACTGACAGCTGTTGTTAAAGCATTTATAGCACAGCTCAGGGCCAGAGGGTGATCAAAGCCAACATTCACATTGCCCCTTGGGATTTTAGGTCTATATTCTGTGGTTTAAAAATACGTGTTAGCATGCAAAAGAACGTACTTAGACACTAATTAGCTCTTCAGTGAACATTAAATATCCATCAAATCAAACAGTGCATAGCACAACTTTCAAATATTCAATATTTGGCTTCAGTGGAGGACAGCAAAGGTGTGACTGCAGCAGGCAGGGTCAGGAACCTCTGCATCTCCCCTGTGCTCTCCATCTGCTCCTCTTCCAAGCTCCCCTCACTGCTACTGTGGGTTTAATCACAGCCAGAAAAAGAATAACAACTTGGTCTCGCAGAACTTTCACATTTTATTTTCATTCCCGTGCAGAACGAGGGCAAAAACCTCCGAAAGATTTTCATGGTGTGGAAATCCTTGTTTTGAATCAGAGCATGGACAAAACCTGGCAGGGGAGGCACAGCTGGGAGCAGCAGGATCCAGTCACGAGACTGGCACTTGTTTATTTGCATCTCCCCACACTTAGGTCATCCTGGAAAAAGGCAGAGAGGCACTTGAGCTCTGGTTCCCAAAAATTTCAGCCCAGAGCTGTAATCCTTAAGGGCAACAGCTCCTTCAGTCTTAAGGAAATAATAAATCTCTTTGAGATTTGTCAAAAAAAAATCCTCCGTGTCTTAGACTGATTCTCTCAGCTCATGGGGGCAGAAGCCCCCCACAACGGGAATTGAATTTGAATGATGAAATTCACTTCTGTCTTATCACTGGCCAAAGAAGGAGGAAAGTTTCATAACTCCAAATAAAATTTTGAGGATCTTTTCCTGTTCTTTTCTCCCTCCTCTGTGGAAGTCTATTCTACTGCCATGCCCATCATCTTGAACCTTGGTGGAATAAGGACGATATTAAACACACAAGTGGGAAAAAAACCCAAAAAGAATCCTTCCAAACTAAACAGCTTTGAAATCTGCCCTGAGCTGATTTGGGCCTCTCTGAGCAAACAGACAGATGCTGATCACAAACACTCACCAAAAGGCACAAAAAAAGGCTCCTGGTACTCACAGGCTCCAGATCTCTGATGCTCTCGGGGAGCTCACGGACACGGAGCAGGAGATCCAACCTCTGGCCCAGCTGAGGGATTTTACACATCTGCACAGAATTGAGCAGAACCAGAATAAAAACTTACATTTATACCAAAACATGTGTATACCTTTCATTATTTATTGAGCAATTCAGCTGGGCCATTGCTTGCCTGATTTCTGTGCTCATTTATTCATTTTCCTCGGGGCCTTAATCCTAATCCTGGATATGCTCTGGCTCATAACTGCAAATTCACTGGATGCTCCTGGGCAGACAGTATTAAAATCAATTTTAATCCTTTCTTGTGAGCAAAAATGGTTAAATACATATAATTTTATAGATGATGGCTTCTAGATTTTGGGAATCTGGATTTAGGTCAGGATAAATCAGTTCCTACTCTGTAGGAAGAGGAGGGAGCGTGACTTGGAGACACAAAGAGATCCATAGTTCTCTTTTTGTTATCTACCTGTGTCAACTCTTCATCAGAATATTCCTTTTATGCTGATTCTGGGTGAGATTGTAAATTTAGGTTCTAAACAACAGCTTCTTGCAGTGGTTTTAGCTTGGAGAATGCCCTAAAAATAGGATGTGGTGTCCTTTAGTATTGAAACTCCTCACCTCGAACATAAACTGGTCAACCACGTGCAGCTCTGAGCAAGAGCCCTTGAAGGACAGGTACCTTCCTGCATCTTTGGGTGTGGGCAAATATCTGTAAAGACAAAATTAAAATTAGGTGTCATCTTCCTCTTCATTCTGGATTCTGATAAAATAATCCCTTGTCCTGGAGCTCCCTACGTTTTGTGTGGTCTGTGTTTCATATTTACTGCTTGTCCTCTGTAGGCATTTGAACCAAGTGTGAGATGGGAGGCAAAAGAGATCTGCAGACACCTCTGGATATCTGGAAAAGCTTCTACGTAGATAAGGCTGGAAACAGCCAGAATGTCCACCCCAAGACATACAGAGAACTCAGAATGACAGAATATTTTAGAAATACGAGACAGAGGAGTTCAGGCCCTGATTTCCAAAGAGGTTGGATCCTTTCTTATCTCTGGTAAGGCAGAATCACAGAATATCCTGAGCTGGAAGGGACCCACAAGGATCATCCTGTCCCTCCTGGCATTGCACAGACACCCCAACAACCCCAGCCTCGAGGGTTTCTCTTCTTTATCACGATTTTTACGGGGTTTTTCACTTGCTTAAACGGTGACAGCACAAAACACAGACCCACACCTTCCTCCCTTCTGCACAAGGTCGCAGAAAATCCTCCAGGGCCACGGATTTTAAGAAGGTTGATGTCTTCAAATATTCCTCCAGTTGGAAAAACAAACACAGATCTCCCTGCCTGTCTGAGCCATCACTGGGGGAATTCACAGCTTTCTTCAGAAAAATGGAATCGATGTCAGAGCTCACATGTGAGGAGTGTAAAGAAGCTGAAATCAGTATTCAGACCTACTCTCTTTTCTTTCTCTTAAAACAAACTTCTAAATTTGCAGCAAGAGTGATTAAACATTCATGGGCAGAGCTATACATTTCCAGTAAAAGTCAGGGAATGTACTCAAAGATAAAAAAAAGGCAAATATTTTAGCAAGTTAAACACAGGACAAACACTAATATTTATTTTACTGTTGTCAATAATTAATATGACATTCCAATTATAAAATTGCTGGGGTTTGAATTAACTCTATATTGTAGCAGATTGAAATGTAATCCTTTCAGCCCACTTTAACATCAAGGAAAAAAAAAAAAAGAGAATTTTCATTTAAAAATAAGTTAGCTGTTGGCAAATGAAAGGGTGTTTATTTACATTAAAAATAGTTTGAGCTTTTAAGCAAATTCATAGAATGTATTTTAAAAGGTGACAGCAAACATCTTCATTTAATCAGAAGTCTGATATCCCATAAAACTCTTTAGCTGCATTATGCATAGAAAATGGAACTAACAGATTATCTGGAAGGTTTAAAGCTCAAAGCACTAAACAATGGGAGCCATGAGAAAGGAGGCACAAAAACACATGAATGCGTTCCATAAATATCTTTTTACATGAATGCAGCTCTAATGGAATTTGCACAATGAAAAAGATTCCCATTTCTCTGGAAAAAAAAAAAAAAAGTTTAGAGGGACGTGGAGTGCTTTGCTGTTAAGAAATGAGGATAAGGAATCATTCAGAGATGGAGAGGTTTCTGTATCAAATTCATTCTTGACATTCCCAGTGATATCCCATCACTTCCACTGGATGCATGAGCAGGACGCTGCTCCCTGGTCCCAGCCTTGAAAACGGGATTTGGCTGTGGCTGGAAGGATTTCTCACTCTCCAGCAGCAGGATTTGGACACTGTGCCCTGGCTCAGACACTCTGGCAGGTACAATTTGCACTGAGAGGAATTTTCCAGCCTCCTGCCAGCTCTGCTGTCCTGCCCACGGGCTCGGAGTCACCTGGGAACGGTTCACACCATTCTCCAAGGAGAGATTTCCCATGGGACACCTCCGTGGGGTGGAAAGCTCCTCAGAGGTGCTGAGTGCCCTCCTTGTGTTGTGCCAGGGAAACCTGGGAGTGCTGATGCTCCAGGAGAATTCCTGTCTGCTCCTTCCATCCTTGGGAATCCAAGCCGTCACTTTGAGATGGATCTCAACTCTTCCAGTTACACTCAAAACTCTCGGGGTGGAAAAAAGTGCAGCTACCTCTCAGTGCAAGATTTGCACATGGATTCATCAATTTTGGCAGTAAATAATAATCCCAGGGACAGAATCCTTGAAGCCAGCTAGCATCGTTTGAATCCTTGAAATTTTACAACATAGAGCAATACAACAATCAATATCCCTTACACATTCCACTGCTGGGAATATTCCCTCAGCATTATTGCCATCAAAGAAAGACTTCAAGGAATAAAATATGATATTTCGAGCTTCATTGCCATCATCATTATTATTATTGTCTGATGGCAAAGAGCCCAGAGGCCATAAATCAGCGATGGCGCAGCAATTTCAGCAGCCTGGAGATCCTGGACTGAGTCTGCAGGGTCAGGACTGAGTCCTGAGCAGCAGAGTGGGGTCAGTGCTTCCCTCTGAACCCAGGTGGGAGCAGGGGATGCCCTGGGAAATGGGGCTGGAGACATTTCCTTTCCCTTTGCCATTCCAGAAACAGCTCTGTGGCGCTGGAGAGCGTCTCCATGTCCAAACATTTCCCTGCAGCTCTTTCCTGCCCAATTCCAGCACTGCAATAAAATATTTTTGTTCTCATTGAGCTTTTAGGGTCAGATTTTCAGCAGCCCCTCAGAGGGGCTGTGCACCTTCCAGCAGATCCCAGTTGGTGTGGGGTTTAACTGGGACAGCAAGGAAACGCCCCCCAGAAATCAAAAAACATTTCAATCCTACCCATGTCCCTCCTTACTTCAAAAACCATCCCACAGAATGACATTAATTCCATGTTTCGTGTCTGTTCTTCCTCACATAGCTTCCCAAGTACGGACAGGATTCTCCAGACTTCAAAATTACTGTCTCAGATCAGGATTTTAAGGCCAAAATTAAACTGATTCCACAAGAAGCAGAAACATCAATTATTTACTTCCTCACTTTATCTGCCAGTGTCTTCTTTTTCCCAGTTTTCTTTAGCAAAACACTCATTTTTTTCAGTTTCACATCAAGCTTTTGAATGTAAAACTGTTTCTTAACATGGCCCAAATATCACCTGGGGACTGGGATGTGGAGCAGATCCCACTCTAGGATCCCACTTCTTTCCTTTCTTTCTACATCTCAAACTATTCAAAAAGATAAAATCCAGTTCCCGTGAATTTCACATGCCAGTAGTTTGCTGGCACTCCCAAAATCTGTCCAATTTTGTTACAGCTACAGAAATCTCCACTCTGCTTGAACCCCCCAAATCTCTGCCCCTCAAATATTCCCAATATCCCATAAACCTCCTTTAATTCTTGTCTGCCTTCCTCCTCTCCAACCTTCCAAACTTCACATCACTTGCAGAAGATTCTGCCTTCTCCAAAAGGTCCCAAAAGCAAACAATTCCCCCCAGAATTACCTTCTCAGTGCTGTAATCTGCTCATCTGTGAGCCCACCATTCTCCTCGTGGATGATGAAGAGTTTGTCCTTCAGCTCACTCGGTTTTATACGGAAACTTTTAAGAAAAATGCCTGGAGAAAGAGGATTTTTGGGTTACTTGAAAGGGAATGCTCAAGGGAAGGAAAATCACCAAAGTATCTCATCTATACTTAGCAGAATTAAAAAAGAAAGCAAAAAAAAAAACATAAATAATGAACAAAAAGAATAAGAAATATTTAGCAGCTGCTGTCATGAGGTAAAAACTCAGCCTTCATATTGTATTTAAATTTACATAGCAGTCATCAAGGAAAAACAAATCTGAGGATGATTTTTTTGTCTCTTGCTGATACCTGCTCCCTGTGTGGCAGAAATTTCTTTTTTCAACAAGAATCCATTAGAGAACTTAGATTTATTTATTTTTTATTTTCTCCTAGGCTGGCCTTGAATTTAGTGTGGAGATCTCTCGGAACTCTCATTTTCCTCTGGCTTTCACAACTTCGTTCAGAATCTCCAGGATTTCTAACCTACTGGCACTTCGGAGCTTCATCTTTTTCCTCATTAATTTAAGGACTGTGGTTTGCAGCACTTGCAGGAAGATTAATCAGAATTCTCAGGATCAAATTAACTTTTGATCTGAGTAATGTCCATTATAATAAGGATATGCCAAAACTCTCACTGATGAGGATAAGATTAAGAAAGGGATGTAGAACATCCCAGCGAAAAGTGCTGGAAGAGGAACACGATCAAAAGGAGGAATGGTGCTATTTGCAAAGCAAGACATTTCCTCAAAGAAACTGCAATAATTTAGTAGATAAAAGTGCTATTACAAGATTCTTTTATCTGCAACGGCACTTTCCCATCACTCTTTCTTTTAACCCTTCCAATTGTTAGTCAAGGGATGCAATAATTCCGAGTTATCTCCATTTACATTTCCCAATTAAAACTTTACGCGCTTTCCAAAATACATTCTTATTCATGTTCATCAAGATGGAATCATTAAAACTTCAGAACTGACTGCCTCAAATTCTTTACACATGTAATCATCTTAAAGCATCTCTAGGTTTTACAGATATTTTTTGGAAAGGTGTTGTTGTGGCAGAAATCAGAGTGCCCTTTGAAGAACAATTACTGCTGCCCCTTTAGTATCTACCACTTCTCACAAGGGAATGAAAAGACCTCTACAATATTTTATTAGGGAGACCAGGGTTGGGTGTTGAGCTGCTTCATTAGCTCTGAAAGGCTGTTCTAGGTCAGGCTTCTGGTAGAATCCCACCTGAAACAGGAGAGCAGAGGGTGTCAAGAGCAGGATCCTGTGCACAGCCTGAGCTCAGCCTGGGAACAGCCAAGAATTCCAGAGCTGCCCCAAAGGCTCCTCTCACCAACCCACCTCCCCCTAGACGGGTTCTCAGCCCCACTGCAGCACAGCACTCCAAGTTCTGCCTCCCAACCTGCTCCTGGTGACTTTGCAGCCCACAAAATTGGAAAGCCTTTGTGTTCAGAAGCTTAAATTGATTTCCTGGGTGTTGTGGATGACTTCACACATCTGCCCCACGACAGCAGCATCACAGCTCAGTGGCACACCCAGGTTTGTATCAAAACAGCGTATTGGGGATTTATCTCTACAGCATCCAGGGCCACCTTTGGAGCAACTGAGCCATGGGGTTGTTTTTTTTTCCAGAGAGAGAAGCACTGGGTTAAAAGATGATTTACACACAGCCTTGCTCACTGCATGACAGAAAGCAGAAATAGCAAAGGCAGGCAGAGCTCAGCTCCAGAGAGGAGCACACAGCCCCTGTTAATCCACTTACTGAAGTTATGTGCAACTTTTCTGTCCAGCAGGATGTGCTGATTCACTGAAGGCTCGCTGCCCAAAAGCACTGCTGTGTCCTGGATCTGGAACTGCTCACACAGCCTGCAGACGTCTATTTTTCTCTTGCATGGGTCACACGACCCCCAGACAGATTTCTGAATCTAAAAATACAGAAGGGACACAGGGTAAACAAAAAGCCAGAAGAACAGAGGCTCTTTGTTCCATGCAAACACAGAGAGGGGCATCCAGGTCATTGTCCAGGCACAGCTGGACTCTCATAAATATCCGTGTCAAACTGGCTACATTATTTAGGTTTTTTTTTACCTTTAACAGCTCCCCTCAGTCTCATGCTCACCTTGTCACAAGGAACGACATCCCAGTGCAAGGCTTTGGTTCTCTTTGCTGCTGGAGAGGGGCTGCAGGGCTGGGGGAGGGCAGGAGGGGCTGGGGGACCCTCAGCTGTGCCCATGGCAGGAGGCAGAGCTGGGGCTGCAGCTCCTGCCAGCGGGGCTGGGGGCTTGCTCAGGCTGCTCCTTGCACAGCTCCCACCAGGGTGGGGAGTCTCCTCCTTCTGCTCATTCACAGGCACAATAAATTCCTCATAATCGGCTTCAGGGGAGCTGCATCCTTCAGCTCCCTGCTGGGGCGCAGCGCTGCCCGGCTGGCAGTGCCTCTCCAGGAGGGACAGCCACTCCCTGCACAGCCTGCCAGCAGCCTCAGGCCTGCTGCTCTGCACTGTGGGGGCTATCCGGAACCTGCAAGGGAAAAAGGACATCCAGAAACGCCACAAGTGTGAAAAATATCCTGCCCAGCAGAGTCCTGCTTTGAGCAGAGTGCTGCGCCTGCCTGAGGGGCCCGGTGCTGCTGGCTCTGACCTCCTCGGTTAATCGCTGGGGTTTGGCCGTGCAGTGACCTCGCTATCCCTCCTCTCCACCTGGGGAAGGTGTGTCACACCTGCCTGGGGGGAACAGCCCCTCAGAACCCGCTCACATCTGTCCCAGCAGCTGTGTGGGGCATCTCCTCCCCAGCTCCTGACAAAGCACCTCCAGCAGGTGCCACAGGCAGGATCCCAACACATCAGGTTGGGATTCCTCCTGAAACCCTCCCCAGATCTCTGCAGAGCAATGGGAGGGGGAACCTGTGTCGTTCTGGTGGCCTCATTGCTCCTGTGTTGCTATTTTCCTCTGGGCCATCGCCATCCTCTGCTGCCTGGCCTTGTTTGCAGCAACTCTGCTTTGACAAATTCCTAATTGTACTTACAGATATCGGTGATCTCTGGTGTGGAGGGAGAAGGTGCTGCAGCCACTGTCCCTGCTGAGCCCCACATTCCCAGCTGCCAGAGGAATTGTGGCTGTGGCAGGGGCTGCAGGGCTCCTGCCCCCCAGCCCAAGGCAGTACAAAGCCAGTTCTCCTTCCCGCAGCTGTGCCAGGCACCTGAAGGACAAGGGATGGAGACACAGCTCATTCCTCACCGCCTTCGTGTTCACACAGCCTGGCCCTTGTTAAAGCACCTTCCAGTGTCAATAAAGCTCCACATTCTTACAGCACCCTCCAAGGAACAGTCAAAAATATCAATAGCAGCGCACAAAATCTTTGGGATGTTCTTATTTGAAAGTTTCTGGGTTTCAGCTGACACTGAAGTAAAGTGGGACATAAAATCTGAGAGCTAAAGTTAAATCTGACCATCAATTCAAAATCACCCAAGTCCTGTTAATTTTTTGGCCACGCTCTGTCCCTCCCTGTCCATTTACTCCTCGTGTTTATTTGGGGCGGTGGATCTTTGGGACTCTGAGCTTTTAAAGGAATTTTATGAGTGAGCAGTGCAGAACGAGGCTTCAGGGTTTTTGTGTCTTCCAGGTTTCACTCCACCAAGCTATAAGCAAATCACCAAGTTTAGTTTCCAATCATCCAGCCCAATATCCCTCTCTCTTGGAAATCCTGTTCCTCCATGGGAGCTCATCCCTCATTCCCGGGAGTCACTTGGCAGGGAAGGGTCAAAGTATTCTGCTCTTGAGGGCTTCCAGCAGAAGTGACTGTGCCAAAATTTGGGGAAAAGCTCTTTAAATTATAATGAATCCTGGAAGGAATTGCCTGAGCATTCAGAGCTTCCATCCCAGCAGAACCCTCTGCTGCAGCCTCTCCTCTGGAGTTCTGCCCTGCTCTTCATAACAAAGGTCCCAACAAGAGGTTGGGTTTTACTGTGGGTTTTATTCTTATTTAAGCTTTTCCCTTCTCATTTTTCTGGAAGATTTCTGCCTTTCTTTATCGTTCTGGCAGTTCCAGCAAAACTCTCTTTCCCTCCCCTCTCTCTTCAAGGTGTGGCTGGTTGATTAAGGTGTTCTAGAAAGAATTTAAATAAGTTTAGCTGCTCCAGAACAAATTAAACATAAAATATAAATTGCATCTATTCCCATACAAACAGTCAAAGTGATAAGAATTGTTTAATGGAGCTGGCAGTGCTATTGATCTCTCCTTTCTTCCAGGCAGGGACTTATGGTTCAATCAGATCTCCAGATGCTTCCACCATCACTTACTTTGCCAAAAAAAAAAAAAAAAAGGAAAAAAGGAGGAGGAGGAGAGAGGATTAATATCAAGGAGAAAACAACAAGGGCTTTGCTTCACAAGATAAACAGAAATCAATTTTTGTTTGTTAACAAACCTGTTCAGTGTTGCAAGGTAACAAATCCTGGACACACTCGAGGATAGTGTTTACAAGACTTACAGTGTTGCCTTTTAAAAGCAATTAAAATCATTTTCTGTGAACTGTGAAGTCTTTTGAGATAATTGCCTTGTGAAGATAATTACAATGGGAATTTTTTTCCATTAGCTAGACAGAATTTTTTTCCTCTCTCTTTCTGTCCTTTGATGGTTTAAGAAATTTCCAGGTGTTTCAGGAGCTGTCTTGGGGAAGGGTGGTTTGTTTGCAGCACGGGGAGCAAACCATGGAAAAAACCCTGGATTACTGAGAATGGAGGGAAAAGTCAAGAGAGAAACAAAGTCACAGCATCAAAATTGTTCTGAGCACCATCACCATTATAGATTTGGGCTGCCAAAGCTCCCAGCAGCCTCCAGATCACAGCTTTGGGTTTTTTGGGTTTTTTGGGTAGCACCACTGCACTGACAGCTCATTGCAGTGCTTCCATCGCAGGCAGATTCGGCATCTACCTTACACTTTAAAAAAAAATAAATCAAATAAATAATTAAGTTATCATTACATTCAAATCTAAATGCCTCTATCAGAAAATTTAACAAAATCCAGAGCTCATACTTCACCCATTCAGTGGAGGTTGAAGTGTTCTGCTGCAAATCCAGCAGCCCTTCGTGGATCACATCACATTCTGCAGGTCTCCCAGGGCAAGACTCCACTGGTCTCTTGGAAGAATTGCTCTGTATAACTCTGCTCAGCAGGTAGATTATCTAAATAATAAATGACAGCAGAGAAAAAAATATTTTCCATATTAATTCCCTTGAATGAATGAAGACTTCAATAGTTGGATTTTACAAGTGCAAAGCCACAGCCAAATGGGTAAAATAAATCAACATAAGATATCTCAGGTCTTTCTATGATGCAAAACCACCTCACTGAGTTTTGGTTCTATGCCTAAACCTGTCTGTCTAAGGAGAATATGATTTTACTCTGAAGGGGTTACTGTAAAACAGAACTTTTTAATTCATGTCTAAAGTAGTCCAGGACAAAGTTTCTGTTCAGCTCAAGCCCAAGCAGCACTCGACTGATTCAGCTGAAAATCTCAGACAATGCTCAAAGATGAACCACTGGGTCTGTTCTCAGCGTGAGGACAAGCCTCATTCAGCCTTAAAATCGGGCATTTTAACAAATACCTTATAGAGAGAACAAAAAAGTGCTTTGAAAGCTCCAGCTGGGATTCAGCTGTGCACATCACCAGTTTTGTTTGCCTGTTTGAACACTCCCAGAGCAGTTCCATCCATGCTGTGGCTGCAGAACTGCCCCACTCGCACATCTCATCTCGAGCTGTGCCAAAATCCTGCGGCCAAGCTCCATCCCGAGCTGGCATTCCCTTTGTTCCAAGGGCCAGGGGGTGAACCCCTCCCTCCTTCCCTGCCTGCACAACTCACAGCAGTGCCTGGGTGCCACCAGCCCAGCTCACCTTCCTTTTATCATCGAGGGACACAGCCTCCAGCTCGTACTCCTGCCTGCCCTGGAACACGATGCTGAAGCGCCTCCTCTCTGCGTCCTCGCAGCCTTTGACTTGTGAGAAGGGGAACTGCTTCTTAATAGTCCCTTTCTCGATGTTAAAAATGGTCCTGCTGTTGAAATCCAGCTGCAATAGAAAATTCTGCATCGCTCGAGGCCGTCTTTGGTGAAAGGCAAAGGCAGCATCCCAATGTTATCACGTGAAGGGGTTTAGATAAAAGACCAGAATAAATATCATTTTAAAATTACATTCCACCATTAAGATGCTGCCCAATGTTTGTTTTAGTCACAAAAACGCCCCCAGATATTCCTCCTAAGCTGTGTTTCCACACATCTCTTTAGATGAATATGCATCAATGCATCGCTCTGAAATAGTCTTTCTTTGTAAATTCTCCTCGTCTCACAAAACCCAGTGCAGAAAGTTCCCCTTCAGCACAAACTAATGGCAGAACCACTCACTCAGTTCCTCACTCCTTCAGTCTCTGAAGTGCAGGTGGTTACAAAAGCACTTCTAAGTTAAAAACTTGCACGTGCAGACCACACCAGCAAATGCCCACACTGTGGCCTTTCCCTCTGTCCTGTTTATAGCAGAAAACCTCCAGAACCTTTCTCATGATTATCTCTGACTTTTGAAGGCTGCTGGTAATTAGAGAACTGAAATTAAACCAATCCAGATTCTCAGACTGATAATTCCCACATCTACTACACGTCTCTCCATTTTTCTGCTTTATGTCTAAATAAATAATCTTTTCATTCCAAAAAAATGGTGGATAATGGTGGGAAAATTACATTTTGTACAGTTAAGATGTAGTAAATAAAAAAACCACCCTGTAGCATCCATGATTCGGACTTGTCCATTATCAAATGTTGTCCAATCTATGAGTAGTTTTAATGAAAACCAGGGAAAAAAACATGAAACCTTTGTCCCTGACTTCATGAAAGGAGGAAATCACCATCAGGGGTTGTTGACAGAAGTTTGCATTAATATATTTTTATTCACTGCAGCGAAAGTGAGAATTTTTAAAGTTACCTGCAAAATCCGTTTCTGCCACCGGTAGTGTTTGTATTTGTAGATAATGAAGTTAAACTGGGACCCAGTTAACAAATCCTGTGGGTCCTGAAAAACAGAACAGGAGTCACATCCCAAGCTGGGATAAGGTTTGGCCACCCAAATCCAGCTGTTCCCAGGTGAAATCTCTCTCTGTGAACAGAAACAGGAGCCCTGCAGGAGAATTCCACAGGGACGGATAGATGTGTCCTCC